CAACACCCCCATGCCCACTAAACCATGTCCCTAAGCGCCTCATCTACACGTCTTTTAAATACCTCCAGGGATGGTGACTCAACCACTTCCCTGGGCAGCCTGTTCCAATGTTTAACTACTCTTTCAGTAAAGAAATTTTTCCTTACGTCCAATCTAAACCTCCCCTGGCGCAACTTGAGGCCATTTCCTCTCGTCCTTTCACCAGTTACTTGGGAGAAGAGACCAACCCCCACCTCGCTACAACCTCCTTTCAGGGAGTTGTAGAGAGCAATGAGGTCTCCCCTCAGCCTCCTTTTCTCCAGGCTAAACAACCCCAGCTCCCTCAGCCGCTCCTCATCAGACTTGTTCTCCAGAGCCCTCACCAGCCTCGTTGCCCTTCACCGGCCGCTCGGCCCCTGCAGCGCACGGTGGGAGGCGGTTTGAAAGTCTGCGCCTTAGCGGTTACTTGGGTGCCGTTGCCGCTTGCGAGGGGAGGTCTGTTCCCTTGAAAGCAGCTTTATCTTCTCCTGTGAGCCGTACGGCTCCCTAAAATCTCGAGTAGCTCTAGCCCTCCTTTGCGTCACTGGCGTTCAGAGGGCACGCCTTGAGCTTAAAGGTCACGGGAGAAAAGTGTAAGAGAGGGACAGCAAACGTGCAAAGCAGGCCCTTCCCTTCGCGTTGTCTTACGCGGAAGGACGAATGCACGCGCTTTCGACGCTCACGGTAAGAAAACACGCCCAGCAAACGCCCTGAAGAGCCAGCGGAGTCACGTAACAAACAGAGAGCAGAGCTTAAAAACAATACACGCAACAGCCGGATCCAGGAACGCGTGAGGAAGCGGGCACAGCAGCCCACGCAACACTGCAAAAGCCGCGTCGCGCCGGGTGCGACGCCCTGTCCGACTCGATAGCGCGTGAAACGCGCGAGAGCAGCGTTCCTTAACCAGCCGCTCGCAGCGTACGTCTTGAATCCCGCGGGGCTTCTCATGCCGATGCTCCCCGAACAGCCTGTCCTTAGCAGGGCCCTGCTCCACCGCCACCAAACCGGAGCGTGCAGCCACCGGCTGCCCAGGAGCGCAAGTGACCTTCCCAGCTGGTGGTGGTGGGAGGGGGGGGGCGTGTGTCTCTGCACAGAGGCAGCCCCGGTACTGTTCTGCGGCCCCTGCTGCCGCAGGGCGAGCCGAGGATGTCGCCGAAAGAGGCCCCACGTCCTTCTCTTCTGCAGCCGTCGGGTACCGTCACCTCTTCGCCAGGCGGTGTGCTTCTGGAGCCCAGAAGCGGTCCCGCGCGGTGGTCGAGGCCCGGCCGTTCTAGGAGAGGCCCCCTCTGAAGCGTTGTTCTGGTATCGTCACACCTTCTCTCACACACGGACGCTATTAGTCGTTTCGCTGCGAGTACCTGCGTACTCGCCACACGCCCCGAGAACAATCCCGCAACGTGCAGGGGACGGTAGCCTGCAGCGGGCTGTCCGACACCCGCCTGCTCTTTGGGGGTTGTTCCGTCCATCGCTACTACTTACTTCAAAGGCTGACAGTTTAAGTGAACCCTCAAATAAATTTTCTTAAACAGTATTAAAGAATGGTTGGGGATTTTTCTTTTTTTCAGAGAGCTTTTTATTAAATATACTACATCAGTATCTTGTACTCCATAATCTTTTGATCACGCACAGACTGACTCGCTTAAAAATGCATTTTATAGAAAAACATCTGCAAAATTAAAGCTTAAAAAAAAAAAAAAACATATTACACACCTCTGGGCAATCTGCACGTTAGCAAAGAATACCTTTTATTATTTGACCTGAACATGTGCTTAAACAAGGAACATACTCATGAAACAGGACACACTCCTTGAACACGGCACACCTCAAACTACTCAGGCTAAAGGAAAACTAGTGCAATCGTGTTTAATTGCGTCTAACAACAGAACGATAAAAACTACTTTTTGTTCCTTTGTTTTTATATTTTTTCCAAACCTGTTCCATTTGTTCTCTTCCCGCCGCGACACAACATCCAGTGGTTATTCCTGTAGATCACTGTCCTTACATGGCACGAAGCAAACTTCATGTCGGCTGAGCCATATTTACAGCGAAGCATGCAAAGGAGGATACTGCAAGTATTCGCAATGCAAATCTATTAAATAGGTTACAACTGAACAACAAGGTGTCCCTTTCACACCGCAATTCTATGGCCTTTCTCTCTGGTGGAAGTTTCCAGTGTATGAATTATAAAACGGCATACAATTCAGAAACGGAAACGAAGAATTTTGCAAATCGTTTGTATTTTCAACTATTAAATCTTTCCGAGAGCTGTGTCTAGCGCCGAAACCAAAGCCAGCTATTGAGTAGCCAGAAAGCTACAGTAATTGAATACATGATCATTTCCCTTTTAGCACGCTCTTTGTTTTCTTCTTCCAGAAGTTGTAGACGGCGATTAAGTTTGATTATCTAAAAATAAATAAAAGCTTTTAATACTTCATTACAAGTTGCCAGACTTTCTAGAAGCTTCTGCGTAGCCATGTAAAATTAGTAGCTCGGGCAGATGGATTTTAAACACTTGATAATTGGACTTTCTATCTTCAGTCGCTAGCGATCAGATCTTGCTGTCCCCAGTAAGTAGGAACAGAAATGGAGTCGGACTCTCCAGATTCCCAGACCACTGCAGGACACGCGAGGGCCGTCCGGCAGGGGTACAGAGAGGATCCCCCATCCTGTCTGTGACGGATACCCCTGCGGCCACGCAGAAAACCTCTTCCCCCATTTTACCACTACAGCTTTTTCTTAAGATTATCAACTACTATGCTTTACATACCTGTCGTCTTAAGGAAGCGGCATCTACCACTGTCATGTCATCTGGTGTTCCCTCAAGCGTAGTATCCAAGTTGGAAAGACCATATCTATCAAATAAGGGAGATAGCTTAGCCGTCTCATCCACGCACAGGCGAGCAAGTACCGTACTTTATCAACATTCTAGTAGATGTATTTTTTTGGGGGTGACGGAGAGAAGAATTGTAAAACTCTTTTTTTCCCCAGCTTTTACAGAGTTGTCTGTGTCAATCGGATCCTAACTGAATAAAGCACAAACACCTGTGAGGTGGGTACGTGCTTGACTGAATCTGGGTTTATTGCTCTCCCCACTTAAATGTTTTTGCAGATTCTCCACGCAGACAGACTTCTTGCTGTCACTTGGTCTCTCAGAAGACTGTTTCCAGTTATTTAACTGATTAACGAAACCTGAACGTTGCCGGAGCTAAAATGCCCAAGTTGCAAGAGACCTGGCAACAGATTAGAAATAACCAAACGAAGACTTGGAAAGACTTGGGTGTCTTATGCTCGGTACCTACGTAAATATCCCAGGTGGACACCTACCGAGATTAATGATCGCACTCACATTAATCTCAGTATTTTAGGCAGAGAACCTTGCAAACAGGGAGTCTGGCGCGGAGTCACTGCTTGCTGAACTTTGCGTGCATTAGAAAGTTTGTGCCCAGAGCACCTCTCGGTTTTCTTAGCGTAGCGATTCAGAGAAAGCATTGTTCTAACTCCAGAGCAAGTTAATTAAATACGGCACGTTTATTATCAGTTGGGAAAAGTCTACATGAAGTATGTGTTCTGATCACCCAAATGCTACCTCGTAACCAGATTCTCTCCCAACAGCTAACAGGTAAAAGTCGTTCCTGATGCTGCACCTACCACTGAGTTTCTCACTGCTTATCTTAAAACCTCCCGTTTCCCACATTGGTTCCCCTTGACTTGCTTTCTCCCTGGGCCCTACGGACAACTGCTGCAAACAGCTCAGGAAACGGAACACAATCACGTCAAGGCTACCAAATTCACAGCAAAATACACCTAGAAGAAGGGTTAGCATTTAATGACAGCTAATGGCCAGCTCTGACTACCGTGAATACGAGTAGAATTCCTGAAGCTTGCAGAACGCGCTGAAGCGCGGATACGACTCGCCCTGCCTGTTCTTCCATCGCTTTCAGCGAACGCCTACAGAACGCCCTCGGCTCAGGCAAGATTTCCCCCCCCCAACACCCCCACCGACAACTTGACAAAAGCTTCCCTGTGCCATTGGTCATTAATATATTGCTTCTAAATAAAAATTGCTGTTTCTAGATGAGAGTTGCATTAGTCTGGACTTAGGTAACGATGAGATCATTGAGCAACACCGTGTGAAAGACAGGAAGTTAATCACGTTTTGAGCTGTGGGGTTTGGGGTGGAAGGGTATACGGGGAGAGGGAAACCTCCAGGTGAGATCAGGACAAAAACAGCGTTTAGTAAGGGAATAGTCAAATAAGCAATTCTCTGTCAACAGACTCATAGCTGTTTTAAAAACACAGTACGGGACCAAAAAAAAAAAAAAAGTTTTGGCAACTCCTTTTGTTAGAAAAAGATTTTCTCATTAAGGCTATTATTAATTTTTTTTATTCTAAGGAGACTTCAAAAATTCACTTAATTATAATTTATGCTATTTACTACTTGTAGTTACAATCATAGAATCATAGTTCTTTCAGTTTGGGCAATATTAAAAAGACTGAAACTGTTGGGGGTTTTTTATTTCCTCAGTGCCGTGAAGCCCACATTGCTAACTCAGCAAAGTTATTTTAAAATCGACCTCAGTTAATTATAAAAGAATTTGAACATTTCTACTCAAAAAGAAGTCTGAAGCTTTGCACACACAAAAAAATTAATCAAGTTTTCCTTACTACTGCAGGTCCTCTGAAAGCCAAAGAGATTTCTGAGGAGGGTCTTTCTGGAGGCTTTTTTTTATTTGCAGTGGATGGTAAAAAAAAGAGAAAATCCCACCAGACCCACAGCATAGCTGTTCCTCACCATCTCTTGGGAAAAGCAGAGAGGCTCATCATTTCAGTGAGATGGGCACACCTCCCTCCCAGGTCACATAAATTTAATATAAAGTCACAGTATCTCACTGCTGCTCTACCAACTTCCAAACCATTCCAGGTATTAAATCAAGAGGGTTGCCAGCAAGAAATCCCTTGAGATAATCTCTTGGGCCGCTACAACACCTGAATTCCTGAGTTAGAGGAGAATCACCTGCTTGAATCCAGTGTCTACCTAAGCACAAACGTGATCTCCATTTCGATGAAAACACAGCAGCGTAGTGGCAAATGGGAACAGCAGATGTGGAAGGGACTATTTTTTTTCCCTTCATCCCCACCAGGAGATTACATGTCAATCTTATATCCGGTTCTGCTGAAATGATGTCCATCCGCCAAGATAACGGCGGTGAAAAGGCATCCAGCTACAACTAACAATCACAGGCACGTTACTGAGAACACCTGGAAAACATAAGGTGGCCAAATTTTCTAGCAATAAAAATACGAAACTCACTAGTAAAGAGAAAATGCTTGAAGCGTACCGCTAGTGTAATTTAAGAGCCTTCCCTCGCACGTTACCTGGAGTCAGAATTCTGCAGCACGTTGTAGCTATTAGACAAGTGAGGTCTTTGCAGGTGACTTGGATGGGTAAGGAATGAGGGCCTGAAACACCTCAAGAGTTGAGAGGGAGGGTAGAAACGAGCATTGTGTTTTAAAATAAGGACACTAGAAATAGGGAAACAGAAGTCTGAATTTTAGAATCTAAATTAGTGGATCACGACTAACAAAAAAATAACTCTTTACCTGGCGTTGTCATGATGAGGGTTAGAGGAAGTGGTAGCAGCTGACCCACCACGTAACACTGGCCTACAGCAGGTTTTTGTAGATAGAAAGGACAAGACAGAAACAGGAAACGACAAACAGAGATAAGAGGTAAACCACACAGAACAAAGGAACATCAAAATACTTCCACTTATATTGTATGGTTTCAATACAATATAGCATCTATTTATTTTGTTGCAAATTGCACTTTCATATTTCTCTTACTCAAATTTAATCAACACTGAATGTTTATGCAGCTAAGACGTGTAGGCAAATTTTTGATGATGTAGCTTCATTTATGGAAGACAAACTGTTGGAATAGAGATTTGGGCGGAGGTTATCAGCCTTACAAAATAACCACGGGAAACTTCAGGTTTAAAAAAAAAAAAAGAAGATTCCCCCCGACAACCAAAACCCCACCCAACAACAATGGAAAAAAACCCCGAACATATCTACACATACTTATAAAAGCCTTTTTAATCATCCCTCCTCCTCTAGGGAAAGGGGAGATTTGTCTTTTCTTTATTCATCTATGCTAGATGTAATTCAGAAAACCTGGGCTAGTAGCCTAAGATACACAGTCCGAAGAGAGGTAGGTCTCTTCAGGAAGAAGCGACTAAAAGCTTCAAGTAGGTTGTATGAACATCCTTATAAGTGTTGCTCTTTCAATTCCTTTTCCTTTTCTTTCTAGGCAGAGAGGAAGAAAAGGTAGAGCTTTTTAAGTTGCTGCAACTATATAATACACATTAACTTTGCAATAAGAAGTCACTGTGTCCCAATTTACAGAAGACGTGAATACCAGCAGTACCTTCTGACAAAGCCGGTACTACGTGTTTTCAGTCCCTCTGGTGATGAGGCATTAGTGTTCCACATCTATGATGTGTAACAAACTGTTCAGGAGCCTGAAATC